ATACCTGTAAATGAATATGCATTTCTTTCTCATATTGTCTTTTTGTTTTTGATGTCCAGTGTTTGATGTCCAGCATAACATCTACAGTGTTTTGTATCAACTAAGACAACATGGACACAGGCACTGACGGGTGATTCGTCTTGTCAACAGAACACAAACTTACGGCATCGATAGTGCAGTCCTTTAAATGTATTTTCTCTTCCTTATAATTTTCTTAATAACATTTTTTTCCTCTAGCTTACTCTTTTGTAAGAATAGAGTATATAACACATGTAACATACAAAATATGAGTTAACCGACTGTTTATGTTACCGGCAAGGCTTCTGGCTAACAGCAGGCTGTTAGCAGTTAAGTTTGGGGAAAGTCAGAAGTTACATGCAGATTTCTGACTGCAAGGGGGGGTTGGTGCCCCTAAACCCCCGGTGTTCAAGGGTCGACTTATTTCTCTGGCTCTGGCCCCACCCCCACTGTGGACCCTCTAATGCTTCCTCAGAGTCCCAACCAGCAGTTGGCAGGAAGACCCTCCAGGATGTCCCGTGTGCCCGGGACCCTGGGGATCACCTGTGCAGCCAAGGCCTCTAGCACCTCAAAACTGTGGCAAAGTCCTCACACGGCAGGGACTTACCCGACCTGGGAAAGTCAGCCTTGGAGTCTTCACCAAAGGGGCCCGAAATGAGGCTTGAAAAGGCAACACAGCCTTGCATTCATGAGGCCCCACAGGATGTTCATGAAACAGTGCTTCCAGCTGCTCATTGTCAGTACCGCTCCCTCCTCCAGGACTCCCTTCTCCAGGATGTCCCGTCTCCTCAGTCCCCCTCCCTTGCCATCTCCCTGCCCACCCCTCGCAGAGGAACTCGCTGCCTACGCTCCTGAGAGATGAGAAGCCAGCCAGCCCTGCATCAAAGCAGACACGGCTCCCAGGAGGCCACGCGCTGCTTTACCGCAGGGATCCTGTCTTCGTCCCGCTCTGTATCTCCTGCACTCAGAACAGCTCCTGCACATAGTAGGTCCAGTTTATCCACATATTAGCTTCTCGACATTAGGCAACTTACTACAATATTCTTGGTCTGTTGCCTCCTGTACAGGATAGACAATAATACCCTGTCACATCTCTGAGGGAATAGAAGAGATGAGGGACGTAAAGTACAAAGCACAGTGCCTGACAGAGTAATTGCTCCATAAATAGTATTTTCGCCTTCTCCACAGGAGAGCACACACGTGCCATTCGGCCGATGTCTCCCGTAGCGTCTAGTGAAGTGCCGGGCACGTGAGAGAAACGCAGTCAGTGCTTTGCTGAACTGAACTGTAGGAACAGGGAAAAGTGCAGGGAAACAGCTACCACTTACATTTACGAGCATTTTGCCGCATTGACGTTAAGATGCTCATTTTCTTCTTGGAATCGAGTCACTTCTTTTTGAAATGTCCTCTTTAAAATCATCTACATTTTAGGAAAGGCTGTCAGTCACAACTTTATGATAGTCCTATCACTAGAAATACCGTCATTGGAAGTATAAAAAAATGGGGTCAGAGATTGGGGTGGGATAATGTGGGAGGAGGCAAAAAGAAAAGAATTTATTCCATTAAGAGAAAAGGTAAATTCTTTTTTGAAAAATAATGGTCCGCTCCGGTTCTTCTCTGCCACCGCAGATTCCTCTCCGCTCTTTGCCTTGCTCGCTAACCTCCGGAGACGGCAATCCCCGGCTCTCGCCTGCTCTCCGGCTTCCCGCTGGGCTGGGCCGGGAGGAAGCACAGGCAGGAGCCTGCAAGGAGAGAGGAGGGACGAGGTCGAGGTGTTCCTCCGCTTGCTCGCTCCCTCCCAGGAGCGGTACAGTTGGCCCTCAGTATCCACTGGGTTGCGCATCCACGGATTCAACCAATCGAATCTGTGGATGCGGAGCCCGTGGACCCGGAGGACCCAATCAGCATCCACGGACTTGGGCACCACTGGAGGGAGCGGGTTCTGGAACCAACGCCCCGCAGACACCGAGGGACAACTGTGTTCCTTTGGGCAGCAGCTCCTGACACGCAGCATCCTCTCCCGCGCCCCGGTTCTCACCAGGCCCCACAGAGAGTTCCCACTTTCTGCCCTTCAGACCCAGGAGCAGCAATAACTTCTCAGTGCTGTTCATATGTGGGTATCTCACCGTTTCTTCTTGGTTCTTTGATGCCCTCTACCTCCTCTCAGTTAAGCCGTTTGAACTGGTTCTTTCCTTTCAGTCCCCAAATTACATAGCGCAGTTATATTTACCAACTAAGAATTCTTCTATCACATTGCTGATATTTTCACATTTAAAGATCATTACAAAAAGCTTCTCTAGAATTTAAAAATGCAATTCAAATTAAGTAAAAGAAAAAAATAGATGTTAAAAAAAGACCCTGGAAAAATAGAAAAATTATACGGCTGATGTGCTTGAGTTGGAACTGAGATCTCTATCAACCTGATGATGAACTGGAATTTGGAATACTTTTCCCCAATAAACAATGTTGTTAAACTATCGTCTGTTAGGCCAGCTGAAAATAAGCTTACTTACTTCATAGTATGCCTAAAATATAACCTTAATTGTGCTATTTCCTGGACTTGATCATGCAATGGTTCAATACGGATAAATGAGATTATTTCTATGGTTACAAATCCACAGCCTCAATGTGTAGCCGCAGAGGGCACCACTCACATGGTATTCTACATGCAGGTGTGCCAGCATAAGACTCCAGAGGACCCACTGTGAATGGTGCCCCCGATACTTTGCATCATGGCACCCCATCTAAATCCCAATACTTTAGCGTCTTAGGTGGACCTTCCCCAGAGGCCAGAAGTACATGGTTATGAGAGCAGGACAAATTGTTTTGAGAACCAGTTATGTCTCTACACCTGCATAAGACCAGGTGGTTCCTCCTGGTAAGGGTGGCAAAGGCAGTAACAATCATGCCTACTAAGTCCTGGGCGGCTGCACACGTTGATAACAGTAGCCACTATTTACTGACATCTTCAGTGTCTTGTGTACTGTGCTACATGTTATTTTATTTTTATTTAAGTATAGTCGATTTACAATGTTGTGTTCATTTCTGGTGTACAACACAGTGATTCAGTTATATATATTCTTTTTCATATTCTTCACTATAGGCTATTACAAGATATTGAATATAGTTCCCTGTACTGTACAGTAAGACCTTGTTGTTTATCTATTTTATATACAGTAGTTTGTATCTGCAGATCCAGAACTCCCAATGTATCTTACCCCCACCACATGTTATTTCTAATCTCCACATAACCAACCATGAACACTACGACTGCTAATAAGGGCTTAAACTTCACAGGTTTCTTTCTGTGTGCTCCTCACTGTGCTAAACACTCTGCAAGCATCATCTTAATTAACAGGTAGGGACCACTGCTACCCCCTTTCTAAAAATGAAAAGCTGAGGTGCAGGGAGGTTAAGCACTTCAAATTATACACACAGTAAGTTGCAGAAGCAAGATTCTCTAAGGGTCTTTAAGGTTTAAATCGCTTACCCAAGGTGAGTAACATTTCATGGAACCACCATTCGAAGCCATCACTGCCTAATAGTTATCCTTACACATTTAGAATTGAAGACCAGAGGATAACTTTCCACATTGAAGGCTGAGCACGGGAGGTGCCTCCAGGCAACTTACATTCATAGTTTACTCATAAACTGAATGACAGGAAATTTGAAGGCACTTATATTAAATACTAATGTACTAATACCTAACAACAGCTTATGTTTCCAGGAATTTAACATACAACACATTACTACCATAATGTAGATATGTGTAGCACAAAACCGACATAAGAAAAACAGAAGACTCTAAATTGCCACAATTAAAAAAAAATAATATAAAGACCAGGGTACATACCCAATGTTGTGATTATAGTTTTTTTCATATGAACAACAAACAAGGATGTTTTGGAATCATTAGGACAAGAGAGACACTGCCAATAGGAATTCATTCAACCTAAACATACCAAAATGTCGTATTGGGCGCTTAAATCAACAGGCAAGAAAAAGGACAATACAATAAAGTCCCTTCCTGAATTTTTTTTTTTTGGTACCTTGTGTATAAACATTGGGAAAAATAGAATTAATACAAAGATCTATTTATATATACCAGCATTTAAGAGAAAGACTTGTTTCTATTTAAATTTCATATTAGTTTTGTGTAGAGAAATATATTATCTCTTATTTCAGAAATGGCTCTAATTTATCCTGTTAGTACCTCTATAATGGGTTGGGCTTTCTATCTAGTGTCATCAACTTTAGGCTATTTATAAGCCCCTCTCCTGGATGTAACACACGAGAGAACAGGCAGCGCTGAGGGATCTCTGCTTCCAACAGTAAATGGCTCACACGTAGCAGGTAATCAACAAAATTGTATTGAATTTGTGTTGAAATTTTGTTAAATGATAATACGTTGTATTATTCAGAAAAGCATTATCTTTGCTTATGTTTTCCTGGGAAATAAGCAAACATGTGACACGAACTTACATGGCTTGGTGGATAACTCGGGATTTCTCCAGAAGGTATTCAGAAATCTGTGCTCCCACGACAGCTCCAGAAGGGGTAAATTTCATTTCTAAGTATTTTCCAAATCGGCTGGAATTGTCATTTATAATAGTGCAGGCATTGCCAAAGGCTTCCACCAGATTGTTCACTTGTAAAATCTTCTCTTGCAGGGTTTTGTTATTAGCCTAGAGAAAATGTCAAGATATTTAAAATTTTTTTAATTAATTTTATGTAGAATGAAAGGTCTCCTCTTTGATAAGCACTTTATGTAAATGAAAACACACAAGAGCATATTCTCGCTATGTTGCCAGATGTTATGACCTAATATGTTTTTCCCCTTCCATAGGTGCACCACTCACTACTCTTCTCGGAGGGGCAAACAGTTATTTTATGTTTTCTGTTCAGATATGGTTCTGTTCAGTTCCTGATTTATGAACACAATTTATAAGCAGTCTATGCAAACTGAGGTACACTTCAAATTTTGTTATTCCTCCTCCACCTGCCTGGGGCCCCATCCAAATGCTCTCCAAAGCCTGGACCACTTCTCTTGCTTCCATGAAAGTCGCTAAACCTGAAACTAAGGGTGTAAAGATAATCTGTAAACTCAGAGGCAGAGGAGAGGGAATAATTGTGCAAACCAGGAACAGCTCGGGTGTGTGGATGGGAGACGTGGAACCCTGGTCGAGGCCAGTGAGCCTACGTGGCTGTCCCTTTCTTTTCCCCTACCCTATATTTGTGTTTTCATTTTCTTAACAGTGTCATTCAGAGAACAGAAGTTCTGAATTTTGGTGAAATCCAATTTTTCCCTTTATGGATTATGCTTTTTATGTTGTACATAACAACTCTTTGCCTGACCTCAGATGACAAAGAACAAAGTTAATTGACAGTTTTCTTCTAGAAATGTTATAGTTTTTGGTTTTACATTTAGGTCTCTGATCTACTTGGAGTTAATTTCTTGTAGTGCTTGGGGTCCAGATTAGGATTCAATATTTTAGTTGTGGGATTATTCCAGTACCATTTGTTAAAGGACTATCATTCACTGACTTTGCACCTTTATTGAATATCGATAAACCGTATATATGTAGATTCCTCTTTCTATTCCATTGATCTGTATGCCATCTTTTCTTTAAATAACACAGTCTTGACCCCTACAGCTTTATAGTAAGTCTTGAAATAAAGTAGTGTTAATCCTCCAATACTGTTCTTTTTCAAAACCGTTTGATTATTATAGTTACCCTGCCTTACCATGTAAATTTTCAAGTCAACTTGTCTGTTTCTAAAAAAAATAAAAAATCCTGTTGAGATTTTTACTGTAACTGCATTGAATCTACAGATCAATTTGTGGAGAACTGACATCTTAATAATATTAAGTGTTTTAATCCATGAATGTGGTATGTATCTTCTATTTTTCAGGACTTCTTTGATATCTTTCATCAACTTTTTTCTATTTTACAGCATACAAATCTTGCACATGTTTTGTAAGATCTAAATTTAAATATTCATGTTTTTGTGGTGATAATGACGCTTTATTTTATTTGCTTTTAAATTATTTATTTATTTATTAATGACACTTTTAAATTTAAATTTCTAATTGATCATCGATGGGATGTATGTAATATATATTTATTTAAGTATAATATATTTAAATATAAATTAAATAATTATTTTTTGCATATTGACTCCCCTTTAACTTGCTAACTACAAAAGGAGAGGAAGTAAAGAAAGCATTCATGCATATGTTAGGGTGAAAAAGAGAGAAAATCAAATTAATAAAGCCTTGCCTACTGAGAATGAAAATAAAAGTATCCTCAAAACAAAGCATATGTACTTTCTATTGTTTGTTATATTTTAAACTCACAAAGGACAACAAAGTGCATTATGATTTCTGTGCATTATAAAATGTGGGAACTTATGAATATTCACCTAATTGGTTAAATTAAGTTCTGAAATATCAGAAATGTTCCTGTTAGGACAGACAAAAAATAAATTATACCTTTCCAAGCACTGTCAGCTGCTGAACTAGAAGATGAGCACTTTCAGTCTTTCCAGCACCACTTTCTCCAGAAATAACAATGCACTGCACAGTGAGAGGAGCAAACTGTAAGACTTTATCCTAACAAAACTCAGTGGACACACAAGAACTTAAGAGGGGAATTGCTATGAATGTGAGACGGTCCTTACCTGATCTGAATTATATGTTACCATAGACTGGTATGCTAAGTCAGCCATGGCAAAAATGTGAGGAGGATTGGCAGTTCTTTTTGCTCCCATATACAGTTTGGAATGCTAAAGGTTAAAAAGAATATTCATAGGGTTTTGAGTCTTGTTTTTGTTTCAGCCCCGTTTATTTACAGATAGAGCAAATTTTAAAGAGCAAAACATGAATCAAAATACAGTTTCATACCACCAAAATGTTACATATATGTTATATACACACAGACATGCACAAATCATGGACAATTCTGTAAAATAAAAGTGACCAAAAAAAAAAAAACCAGCCCAGAAAACATGATATGACAAAATATGACATCACTCTGGCAGTGCCATTTAAAAGAAGACTCTTTTGGAAAAGCATACCACTTCCAAAGCAGAACTTAAGGTTTCAAAATACTATTATTTCTTTAAATAAGAAGACATTTTATAAATAAGACAACCAGATAACATTTTGTTGACTGTTCTTTGGATATAATAAAGTCTGGCAGACAATCACCACTTTTTTCCTTTCACATCATTTACCATACATTCTCATTTGATTTGCCCAAGATCACATAGTTAATTGAGAGCAGAATTTACACTAAGGCCCAGATCTTCTACTTCAGTCAAGGTTCGTAAATTTGCCATTATTCTTGTAAATCTTAAAGTGGTAGAGAGACAGAATTACGTGCTTTTCATCCACACACAAAATAACATTAAGCACAGTAGTAAACGCTATTCTAGAGCACACAAATAGCTAGACGAGTATGCATCCAATTAAACACAAAAACAGCCTAGCCTAACTCCAGAATACTCTTCTGTATTTAAACATTAGGGGTTGAATAATGGATAGTTAGACACTTATACTCATAAAACATATTGTCTGATATTAAAAGCCAATCTGCAGGTCAAAAGGACTTTCTAAACTCATAATGGTAAGTTTTATAGCCATTAAGTATATAGTACCTGTATATACAATGCAATTTTACTTTTGACACTCCCATCCTTGGTTCAGAGATAGATATTAAGTCTGCACTTTTTTAGGCATCTGTTTATTGATATGATACGTGATACAGACCAGTTACCAATTACCAGTAACTGAAATAATTAACATATTTCACATAAAGACCACAAACTGCATCAAGATCAATTCACCTTCTGTTTTTCCCTATTTCTGTGTTTTAATAATAATTATTTAACTCTTTATTCAAGGTATTGGACCAAATTTTCTTTCGCATAATTTAAATTAATTTAAATATCTGAATAGGATAATTATTTGTACAAAGTGAGAAAACACAAGCCACACCACATACCTCTGCAGAATAAAGACACAGACTCTGAAAAGGGTTAAGAGCAATGAGTATGTCTCCCACATAGATATAAATCTGATCTCTGGAGTAACACTTCTCAAGTTGCTCTGAGACTGTATTCTGTAATAAAATAAAAACAATTTACTTTTCTCAAAAATCACTGATGGTCAATTATAACTTTAAAAGCAAACGATAATAAACAAAACATCTGGAATGTGGAGCAAAGATCAGAAAGAAATAGGTAGTAAGAAGAGTAGCAGTGGGTCAGCAACTACCCTTGATGGGTTATTTTCTTCTCTTTCGAGAACCATAGAGGGGTGTCATTGCAGGACACGTTGTGTGTTACAGGGAATACATCCACACAATGCTTTCAAGGAGCTAAGTAAATGCAGTAGATGAAGTAAAGAGAAAGAACACTAGAAAAGGGAAGGGAAGATAAGGTGAACATGATTATATTCCAAATCAAGGTTATTCACTGGTTCTGTGGATTGTCTTGGCCCTTTGCTGAAGTATTTGGCTTTGAGGCAGAGTGAAAAGTACAGAGAAGTAACTTCCATAGGTGATAAGTCATATGAGTCCAAAGGAATCAACATTAATAATGCCAGAAACCATCATTCATAGTTCGTGACACAAGAGCAAAAGTTCTTAGGTCAAAAAATCAAACACACACCATAGAAACAAACCAACCCAATGTTTAAGACAAAGGTCATCAATGTGATTAGCAAAGCCTTCTTTACAATCCACAAGCCTAAGGTTTCACATGATTGGAGAATCTGATACACAAAGATTCATAAAGGTGTTGGCAATCTCTGACTTGCAAACACTATTTGATACAAGATGTTTGATGCTCTCAAGAGAGATTATTCTGAGGAAGTACTTGAGTTGTTCATGCAACCCTCCATTTACCAAATGACTACTTCTGGTGCAGAAAATGCCTCCTGATTAGTTGCATGTTTAAGCAAAATGCTCAGGCATGTATCAGAAGTATTAAAAAGTAAAATTCTGTGGGTCAGGCAGGATAGTGATCCCGACCTTTTACTGAAAAGGAGCTATTTATGTCTCCAATGATGTGATTATCTGAAATAAAAGGAGATGAGTAGAAAGAGGCTGAGACTACAATTTACTGGCCTGGACTTGTACCTTCACAAGAGATGTCTGAAATATTTCTGAGGTCATTCCCTAAAAGGTGGGCTGTGTGATCCCATGAGGGGGAGCATTGACCATAGTGACAGCCAGGTTCTTGAGGTATCTCAGAGGCTCTCGGTCCTGCCACTGAGTGTGGAACAGGAGAGGAAAAGGAGGGGGCAAGCCAGATGGTGTAGGAGACAAATTGTTTTCTTTGTTTTTTCTTTTTTCTGTTTTTTTAAGTAGTCTATTTAAAAAAAATGGGGGGTAATTAGGTTTGTTTGTTAATTAAATTAACTAATTAATTATTCTGATGGAGGTACTGGGGATCGAACCCAGGACCTTGCACACTAGGCACACACTCTACCACTGAGTTATACCCTTCCCCTAAAGGTAAACTGTTTTCTGACTGTAGTAAATCATCCCTTTGAGACTCATGGAGAGAACTGAGGGGAAGAGGGGGCCTGTGCTCTAAGCAACTCATCTTGTGTGAACTTGCACCTTTGTGAGTATCAAAAAAAAAAAAAAGAAGAAAAAGTTGACAGCAGGTTGGAGAGATCTGGAAATGTGTGTTACACGTATTAAAAATGAAGACAGGAGAGATGATTGGGAAGCCAAGAGAGGCCAAGAATCTCCTGCTCGTACCACTTTCGTGAATTAAAAAAAGAATAGAGAGAGAATGTTTAAGTTTAATTAAACTGAGTTTCTTACCTCATCCAAAACCTCCAGGGTTGCTAAATCATCTACATCCTTCAGGCTGGAAATTAGAGATTTGCTGAAGTTACTTTTCTTGGTGTAAAGACGTTCATGTCTGAGGAGCAATACAGTAAGAAGACCCTTTCTGATTTGAGAACTTATTATTGATCATAGCAGAAGTAAAATACAGATACAGAAGAGACTGAAAAATTCTATGAAGCTGATTAACTAAAGTCAACAGTAACAATTTACCAGCAAACAGCCTCATGTATTTGATCTGTTTTCTTCTCTTCACTGGGGAAATGCAACATGTCAAGCTTACTTCATGGATAATCAAGAGAGTTCATTATTTCCATCAAGAACTATTCTCTATCTATATTCTTTAAAGCTTCCTCTAAATTCTGATGTATATTTTAATCTGTTATAAAATGGTGAGTCAGATTTTCATTCACTAGATTTCCAGTTTTGTCTGAGGTGGTGGTAGGCCACTGATGGTCAAGGAAAGATAATCTGAAAAACTAGCATTCAGCAGAATTTAAGAGGAACACAAAATAAAGCACATTGTGGACTCTCAAAAAATGTGCGTAGAAAATTGATTTCAGGCACTAGGAAGTTTATTTTCAAAGTGAAACATTTCAGCAATTTCAATAGCAGTGCAGAGGTCCTGATCTGACATCACGTCTGGAGAAGTTGCTGAGGTAAACACAGGGGTTTGTTTCAACTTTCCTGGACATGAAATCATCATCCATTTTATTTTGAGCAGAAGTGTATTTTCAGTATTTATTTTTGGACAGACTGTTAAGCACTTGAATTTGTCCACTGGTAAAAGGGGAAGGAATACACAGATTACGACGAATAATAAGGATCATACCATTTACTCACCAAACTTCAATGGGTTCTCGTTGTTTAGAGAATTGAGTCACTACTGATAATGGTCCTCACCTCCATCTAGGGCTGGACCCCTGCTCTGGGCACTAGGTTCTCTCTCCTCTCACTTATTCAAGGACATCACTCCTGCTGGTTCCTCTTTCATGTCTACATCACTCATTTTCCCCTCTCAGCTGTTAACAGCATCCTCCTCAGAACCAACCAACCACCAGGCCTTGAGTTTGCTGCTGCTTCCTTGATTTACAGCAAAAATCCTCAAGTGCATTATCTGTGCCTCATCTCTTCAATTTTACTGCGCTTATTAAGAAAACCCATTTCAATTAGGCTGTCATCTCCACGCGCCACGGAAACAGCTACTGTTCAGGACAGTAACGACCAACACATTGCTGAATTCCATGGTCAATTCCAAGTCCTCATTTTCCTTAACCTCCTGGCGACATTGGACAAAGGCTTTTAAAAAAATTCTTTATTAAAATATAGTTGATTTACAATATTATATTAGTTTCAAGTACATAGTGAATCAAAATTTTTATAGATTATACTCCACTTAAATTTATAAAATATTGTCTGTGTTCCCTGTGATGTACCATATATCTTTGTAGCTTATTTATTCTATAATCTTAACCCCCACCCCTATCTTGCCCTTTCCCCCTTCTCTCTCCCCACTGGTAACCACTAGTTTTGGGCAAATGCTTCATAAACACATGAGTCTTGGCGTCCTGGGCCCTTCTCTTCCTTACCTCACTGGCATCTCCATCTGAGTATCTTTTCTTAAGGTTCCTCCTTATCTTTCCACTGGCACATTTTGGAATCTCCTGAGCTTCAGTCCATAGAGCTATTTTCTTCTCTACCAAGATTTACTTCCTGATTTCATAGCTTTAAATACCACTTATGAGCTGACAACTCTGCTGATATCCAGACTTAAGCATTCAGCTGCTCACTCGATACTGCACTTGGAAGTCGAGGTGGCAGACTTAACACATCCTGAACCAGGCTCCTGAAAACCCCAGCCCCAAACCCACTCCTGTCCACGGTCCTCATCTCAGCCACTGGGGACGCCGTTCTTCTGACTGTTCAGGCAAAAAATCTTGGCGTGACCCCTGGCTCTTCTTTTCCTCTTGTATCCCTCCTGCAGACGACACACAGACCCACCAGCTCTGTCATCAGATTGCATCTAGAACCAAATATCTCTCCGCACCGGCACCTGCCCCCTATTAAACCTCATGCCACAGCCACCTCCCTGCTGCCACCTTTGCTTTCAGAGTGATGTTTTTAAAATATGTAAGATTTTTCCTTTTTCTCTTCAGCCCCATCTGTGTGATGGAACTTTGTTCACTTTTCACAGTCTACCTCAAATGCCACCTGTTTTAAACCCTCAGCGTCATTCTTTACATTTCTCTGGACAAATATCTTAGTTAAGTCATTTCAGTCAATCATTTGCATAAGGGTCTTATTCCTTTTACTAGACTGTAAAGTTACTCAAGATAGCGATATCTTATCCCTAGAACAGCTGGACAGCCACATGCAGGGGGAAGAAAAAGGATCTAGACACAAACCTTGCACTTTTCACAAAAGTTAACTCAAAATGGGTCATACGTCTAAGTGTAAAATGCAAAACTATAAAACTCTTAGAAGTGTAGGAGAAAATCTAGATAATCTTGGGTGTGGAAATGAGTATATAAATGCAACACCCAAAGCATCATCCATGAAAGAAAAAAGTGATAAGGTAGACTTCATTAAAATGAAAAGCTTCTGCTCTGTGAAAGACACTGTATAAAAAGTGAAGTCACAGACTGGGAGAAAATATTTGCAAAAAACACATCTGATTAAGGACTCGTATCTAATCACAGGAACAGTGTTTACTCCTATTTATAAGTCTTAGATTCTTCCCTAATAATTTTTATAACATTTCTAAAAATTTACAATTATATAGTTATTTGTATGGATAATTTAGTTAGTATTTGAATCCTTTACTACAGTGTAAGCTCCAAGATACACAAGACTGTATGTGTTTAGTTTCCTGTTATATCTAGCAACAAGGAGATGATTTAGAACATAATAGGTCCTCAATAAGTATTAGTTGAATGAATGAGTGAATGTATATCTCCCACGATTTCTGGCACAGGATTTACACACAGTTAGTGTCCACCTTTGCTGATCTCAACAAGTATTATTGTATGGATCCCCCTACCTCCAAAGAAACTCATACAATACATGATCTTTAAGAAACTAGAGAAGGAAATCCAATTATGTATTTAAGTGAAGAGCCCTGAATTTTTTATCTGCTTTTATGGGACTATTTGGCATCCAAAGACTGTTCCTGGAGAATGACAAGGAGCAGATGGTGAAGCCCAGGGTGACAGGTCAAGTCTTGGCTGGCTGGTACCCTCACTCTTTCCCTCCTATGAATTCATCCTCCATGACGCTTTTGGTACTAGCCTCAAAAAACTTACAAAATATTTTGTTATTGTGATGATTAAAAACTTCGACAGTATGACTTAAAAATTCCTTGGCATGGAATTCGTGGACTTTCAGAGTCTGTCTCAAGCTTTCCACACCACCACCCGTCATATCTGTACAGAACAGTCCCCAACAGGGCAAGCATTTTTAAGAGTCTGTGCTTTGTTCGTTTTGTTTTCTCTGCCTGGAATGATTTTCCTTCCATGTCTGGCAAAACTGTACTTATTGTACAAAGTCAGGCTCTCTGTGCAAATAACACCTTCTCCGTGAAGTCACTGCAGGACTTTCCGGCGAGAATGCATCACAAGGAGGAATGCTTTCACATTGCATCATGTATGTTCCTCAGTCTTGACAGACCAGGATAAACTTGTGGGCAGAAACCAAGCGTTACTCATCTTTCTATGCCTGGCATCAAGGATATGAAGATGTAAAAATACATTTGGTGGCTTGAATTGCAACACTGAGCCCTACCCAGCCAGTGGGTGTACAAAGAGCAGTATTTCTTAGTGTGACCGATTCTATGTCCTTCCCTGTTAGTTCGCATCCCACCCTTTCTGCTAAGCCTTTTAATCAGAAGTCAGTTTGGGCACCAAAACTATCTGATCTACCACCTTTCTCATCTCTCACCACAATGCACAAATCATATGTCATAAAAGCGCAGAACATATGTAAGAACAGTTTAGAAAATTTGCCTGGGACTGCTGACTTGATACACTGGTTAAAAAATACAGGCATTTCTTATCTCTGAACAGTAGTCTGCTCTCCTTCTAGCTCCTAAACAGAGAGGGTATTTCATACAAAGTTCAATGTCTACTTCTAGGGTCAAACCTACACGGCTACTCCCCTGATCTAAGCCCTACTGTTTCTTACTTGGATGATTGCAAATAGTGAGAATGATCTTTTTACAACATAAGTCAGATATGTCACTCTCTGATCAGGAATGTCCAATGTCCCCGTGTCATTCAGAGAAAGGTCCCATGAAACCTGACCCCGTCCCTACCCCACTGTTTCTGACCTCATCTTCTAACACCCTTCCCCTGCTCACTCCTCCCCGCCACGCGCACTCCTGCCTCAGAGGCTCGTGCTGACTTCCCTCTGCCCAGAGAACCATAGGCTACTGTACCTCCCTCCCTTGTGAGGTCTGAGCCACCACTCTCTTTAATGCTGCGATTCTCACCCCCACCAATCCCACTGACTCTCCCTCCAACTGACCTCGCTCTATTTTTCCTTTAGCGTGCATCACTGCCTATTACACTGTTTACAAATTTACTAAAATTTCCCTAGCTCTTCTCATTGATACGAGAACAGAGTTATTTCCTTTTTTAAAATCTGTTGATTGATACACCCCATACTCCTAGACTAGAGTCTTGCAAATAGTAGGTTCTCAAAATATATTTCCTGGGAAAAAGGAATGAATATTTTAAAGTTACTAAATGTTCATCTACTGTGGGACCAAGGAAACTTATTTTATTTTTTATTCTCATTATAAACAATTGAAATGCTCAATGGAAAAAAAAATACATATATATGTGTATACACCTATATGTGTTTCGAGATTACTTTACACTTTTAACATTTTTCTTTTGTCTTCATTTTATAGAATTAATTTCCATTCTTGTTACTTTATTACATATTTAATTTCTGTAAGACTTGGGAAAGGAAAAGTCGGAATCCTTCCAATAAGATTCCTGTCCTCTTGTGAAAAGTACAGCTTGTTAACCAGACTCTATTTTTCATTTACTCTGTGATGCTGGAGAGACATAGTTT